ACTATGACAGCCTTTGCTTTGAACCTCGCGTGAGAAGGACCAGCTTGTGTCACTCAGCTGGGTGACTCACAGCAGTACACAAATCTAGCCCATACGTGAAGTGCAAAAGCAGTAAGAGTGATGGGTGAATTTACAGCTTCAGGAAACGTCTACATGCTTTTGCTTTGAGTGAGCATCAGAGCAAACACGTGTTATGTAAAGGCATGTGGTTGCACAACTGGCTCCCCAGCGTTACTGATCCCGCATCCATTTGTGTGTGCAGAGGATCCAGGCTGGGTTAAAGAGAACACTGCAGCCCGCTGACTTCTCCAGTTTCATCCCCACAGACAAAATATGCTGGGTCAAAGCAGACAGTGAATTTGTTTCCCTGCCAAAATGAATTCTCTTCTTGCTGATGCAAACCCCCTTGAGGTCATGCTTTCCAGGCCAATAGGACTCTATTCTGAGTCTTCACTTCCACCACTAAAGAAAAAAGGCAAGCAGAGATTTTGGATGCCTGGATTTTGGCACTTGGAGTCTGCCTCAAGGCCCTACAGAGACAAAATGCAACCTCAGGGCCAGGTTTGGCACCAGGCATCCCTGGACACAGAGTCCAGTCCTTTTGGGAGCCGTGCTGAGCTGCAAGGCTGGGCTCTCTGCAGCCACACTGGGCTGGCATGATGGCACTTCCATATCCTGCAGGCATCACCTAAAATAGATTCTGATACCTGAAATAATTCGTTCACTAAACCCACCCTTTTCTGCCTTGTAGGTGTAATAGATTTGACTGGAAAAAAATACGGCAAACATAAACCAGATGAACCAGGAATAGAAAAAAGGGAAAATGAGAAACAGGACAAACTTTTTAGGCAAAGGAAAAAATGTCTCTGTTCTTGATTTCACATTATTTGTCAGAAGTTGAAGGTTTGGTTTGTTTTTTTTTTTTTCCTGCATTATTCTTCTCCTTTGATGTTAATTTTTAATATAATGTGTGACTAAGAGTCTAAGTCCCAGTACTCTGCTCTGTAGTTGAGCTGAAATAAGGTTTCATTTCCTAAGTTTCTGACTGAAGATGGATTTTTCCTTCTGAAGTTCATTGACACAGAAGTAAGAGAGGCTTTTTGTTCGAGCCTGTAGTGAAATTACAGTTATGAGCTTACCAATGAGCTTCTGGCGAGCTCAAGAAACATCAAATGTTTGGAAAAGTTACAGCTAGGAGGGTTTTATGCCAAATTTGATGTTAGCAGAGAAAGAGGGACTCCTGGCCCAGCAGACAGACACTGCTCCACAGTGAGAACACCTGGACCAGTACCCACAGCTCTGCAAGGTCCCAGCAGTGCTGATTCAGGAGAGTCTGGTGCATACGGAGAAAATTGTTAGTCCCTCCACAGATATTTTAGACCACAGACTTTTGACGCTTCTAGCATTTTACTCTTAGACCTATTGGTCACAGCTGACTCTTATTTAGCATACAATAACGGGAGAAAAATATGCATTCTCTATCAGAATGATGGCCTTGCATTTTGTGGCACCTGCAGATAGAATCATAGAATCAAGGAATGGGTTGGGTTAGAAGGGAACTTTCAAGGTTATCTAGTCCAATCTCCCTGCAGTCAGCAGGGATATCTGCAACCAGAGCAGATTCCTCAGAGCCCTGTCCAACCTGACCTGGAATGGTTCCAGGGATGGGGCATCCACCACCTCTCTGGGTAATCTGGGCCAGTGTCTCGCCCACTTGGTGTAAAAGATTCCTTCTATCTAGTCTGAATCCCCCCTCTTTTAGTTTAAAACCATCACCCCTTGTTCTGTCTCAACAGGCCCTGCTAAAAAGACTGTCCCCATCTTTCTTATAGGTCCCTTTGAAGTACTGAAAGGCCACAATAAGGTCTCCCTGGAGCCTTCTCTTCCTCCAGGCTGAACAACCCCAACTCTCCCAGCCTGACCTCACAGCAGAGGGGTTCCAGCCCTTGGATAATTTTTGTGGCCTCCTCTGGCCCTGTTCCAGCAGGTCCCTGTCTCTCCTGTGCTGAGGACTCCAGAGCTGGACCCAGCACTGCAGGGGGGTCTCACCAGAGCAGAGCAAAGGGGCAGAATCCCCTCCCTCACCCTGCTGCCCACGCTGCTCTGGATGCAGCCCAGGCTGCCCGTGGCTTCTGGGCTGGGAGCACACGTGGCTGGCTCCTGGCCAGGTTTTCAACCACCAGCTCCCCAGAGTCCTTCTGGCTGACAGACAGACTGCTCCCAGTTTTCAGTACAGAAAAGGCACAGGCCAGCAGCTATGTGATTCAAACTGGTTTGGAGGAAATCCCTTCCTGCACATGCTTTTTAAGAAATCCAACATTAAAGGCAGCAAAGACACAACACCCAAATGTAATTCCCTGTAGTAGCTCTTAACAGAACAGCACAAAATATCAGGCAGGGTGCTGATAACCAAGTTTATCCGTAGGAATAAAAATGGACTGATATGCTCTCCCCACACACTGAACAGATCAAGAAGGTTTTGGGTTTAGTATCTAAACTAAGAAGACAGAATGAGCAAAACCTTGAATTTCCTGCTCGTGAGCTGTCCCACCAGGTTCCACATTGAGCTGTCCCACTTCTCTTCACAACACAATTGAAAAAATATAATGTAAATATCAAAAAAACTGTTTGAAAACAGTAGGTGCCAAATATAGTTAAGTTTTAATTTTTATTGTCTGATAACACTGTGATAATATAAACTGTATAAAGCATGATAAAACACTTCTATAAAATAGAGTAGATACAGATTATAAAATAAAAAATAAAAATATATTAACAAAAGAAAAAAGTTAAAAGGAAAATATTACAATAAAATAATGGTACAATTTCTTCCTGTATTCCAAAATTTACTGAAAATCTTTAAATTATGCAGCACTAAGATAATTTACTTTTACTTTCTCTCTTGATTTTAAACATGCACTAAATCAAAGAGAAATAAAACCTATTGATGAGTACAGAAAACGTTATTAATCACATAATATTGTGTATAGATTTAAGGAGGACGATGCAGTGGCAGTCAAAAGAAATGCATGATCATTACTTCCCTTCCCAGGGGCTTACAGATCTTAGCAATTAAAAAGAGCTCAGTAATTCACAATAAAAGTAACAGCCACTGAACAGCACTAAACTCTGATAAAAGAGCAGCGGTTGTAAAACCTGTCAGAAACCTGTCACACGAAAGATGAGCTGCACTTCAGACAGTCTCTGAAATCTGAACCCTGGCAACGTCAGTCCTGAGACCAAAATTCCACACAGAGCTCTGGGAGAGGACCACACGTGGCTTCCCACCGCGAGGCTGCAACTGCCCCTGCTCAAAACCCGCTTTGTTTCCACCACAGGGATCACACAAAGGAACAACTGCCCCCACTGCCACGTGCGTTTGCTGAGAGTGGATCCCATAAACTCTAAACAACCAAAACCAGCCAAGCACCCCAAAATCGTGTGACTCTAGATCTTGCGCAGAGCACGAGGCCATCAGCAACCCCAGCAGCTCTTTCTGCTCTTTCCCCTGTCACTCACCTGCCTACTACCTTATTTCAAAGGGGGCTGGGAGTTTTTGAAGGTGCAACTGCATTTGTTGATGTATTTGCAGAATTAATATTTGCTGAGGTGGTACTAAAATAATCTATGTAGGGTCATTCATTATTCAGTGTACTAAAAATATATGTTTTTAAAATAGCCCTTAACACACATTCTTAGAATGTGAATATTTCACATTCTTACCTAGGAATGTTTTATATGTCCTCAGTAAACATTACCAGTTTCATTTTGGAAGAAATGTGATTCTTATCATCATGATCAAATGGAAAATCATTTTTAATTTAGCTATAAACATTTTGGTCAGCAATACATGAACTAACAATAATTTAAGACACAGGGGCTACTAGCACAAGACTTCAAGCAATGTAATTTTATGGAACGAAAGAGAAAAAGAAAACATTAGAGGTTGGATTTTCTTCTCTGTGGATACGTACATTCTAAAACAGTAGGGAAGAGGACTTCAACTTTTGTGAAAATAGTTGAGATTAAAAGATTCAAGAGCAGATTCTCCTTAGCATCAGTCACAGAAGCTCTACTGGCATTAATAACCAGCTGAGAATCCTGCTTATTATCAAAGATGTATAAACCCCACTTCTTTGATACTTATTTGTTAGCAAAAATTTGTGGGTTGAAGAGACAGCACTCATGCAAGAAACATGAAATTTGAAACACAGCTTGATAGAATCATTGAATTGTTTTGGTTGGAAGTGACTGTTTAGATCATCGAGTCCAACCCTTAACCCAGCACTGCCAGGGCACCACTGAACCATGTCCCCCAGCACCACAGCTACATGGCTTTTAAACCCCTCCAGGGATGGGGACTCCACCACTGCCCTGGGCAGCCTGGGCCAGAGCTTGACAACAGTTTTAAGGAAGTAATTTTTCCTGGCTCCTGATGATGGAGCTTTGGTAAGGCAAATACAGCCAAAAGTTACTAGTGATCCAAACCCCTCCCAGGATCAGAAATCAACTGTACCAGAGCTAGTGAACAGCCAAGTACCTTATTACACTGGGGGGGGGCTGCTGTTACCTAGCTGTAGTCAGAAGTGATTGGCTTTTCAAACCAAAGTCAGAGGAAATCTTCTCAGTACAAAGCAGAGTGCAATCTGGGCCCACACCCAGGTATGCTTATTGTCTCTGCTAATAAAGTGTTATTCTGTTGTGTTTCTAATTCTGCCTTCTGTTTCAAGATACGCCCAGTTTACATCAACTAAAAATCAGATAATTGCCCCACTATGAGAAACCAGTGTTTATAATTCCCTAAGAAAAATACCAAGACATTGAACTCAATCACCATAGTCAAAATCAATGAATTCCATAGTTTTAAAAATTAGGATATCAGTGTGCTGAAATGTTCACTATGTTTTTAGTTTACAAAAAAAAGGTACAAAATTAGATTGAAACTTGAAAATTCACAAGAAGACGTGTTTTCAGGAGTTTTGCACAGCCCTGCTCTGGAGCAGCAGCACTGATCAAGTCTTTTTTACTCCAGTTATAAAAACCAGTTTCTTGAGGGAGTGGGACCTACGGCGCATCCTCTACGTATGGTTGTTGTTAAGGTGGCTCTTGTTAAAGAATCTCCTCGCTTCCACGCTGCTGAGGGACACGGAGCAGCGGGATGGATTCTCCTTCCTGTATTCAATGCTCTCCATCATAGCCTCCTTGATGACCTGGAAAACAGGGAACAGCGTGTCATCCAGTGAAATAACAAGCACCAGCTCTAGAGGCCCCTACCCAAGGACATGGACTTGTTGGGAGAGGGTCCAGAGGAAGGAACAAAAATGATCTGAGGGCTGGAACCCCTCTGCTGTGAGGACAGGCTGAGAGAGTTGGGGTTGTTCAGCCTGGAGAGGAGAAGGCTCTGGGAAGACCTTCTTGCAGCCTTCCAGCATTTGAAGGGTTCTTACAAGGAAGCTCGGGAGGGACTTCTCACAAGGGCTTGTAGTGATAGGATGAGGGGTAATGGGTTTAAACTGGAAGAGGGTAGATTTTGATTAGAAATTAGGTAGAAGCTCTTCACTAAGAGGGTGGTGAGACACAGAAACAGGTTGCCCAAGGGGAGGCTCCATCACTGGATGTGTTCAGGACTGGGTTGGATGGGTCTTTGAGCAACCTGGTCTAGTGGGAGGCGTCCCTGCCCATGGCAGGGGGTTAGAACTAGATGACCTTTAAGTTCCTTTCCAACCGAGTTCTATGATTTTAACTGATAGGAAAGACACCTTCAGATGTTAACAACTGTTGCTCCTACTTATAAGAGTGCCCATCACTGAACAAACTGATGGCTCAGTATTCTTATGAATACTATTTTTTAATTATATAAACCACTGATTATTACAGACATGAGAGGGTATCACCAGTGCCAAAGAAGAAGTAACAGAAAGAATATTTATCATTTAAACCAAGTCCTAATGAAATTCTGAAGGGTAAACCAAAACATTGAGAAAATCCATACTGAAAGGATATACAAAATAATTATTATCTTCAGAAAGGTTAAATCTTCACTTTTGCTCCCTTTGTCCTAAAGTGACAAGATTTCTTTAATATCTTGAGTAAAACATGGATTTGTTTATCAGGGATGATCATTTACTCTTGCGAATATGGATGCTGGGATCATGGTGTCACGTTATAGCTAGTTTCAATTAAAAGTAATTGTTACTGAGTTAATTTCTAAAGAAATTTCCAGATGTCTTTATAGAAAATTACCAATATCCTTTCTTTTCCAGTTAGAAAACTCTCATACATAAAGAAATGAGGATAAAATTCTGGACATGATGTCTCTGCCCTGCACAGGCACTTTTGCTCAGTGAGCCTGCAGGGCTTTTGATGGTAAAATGTCAAACCCAACAGAGAAGCCACACTAGAAAAGAGGGTGAACTGGAACAGATCTAAACAACCACAGGCTTGAACGTTGTAAAAGCACACACATCCTGCACTCCAATAGTTCTGACATTTGGAAGATGGCCACCATACTTCAGTCTTCTTAGACCCAGAAACAGTGGCATACGTACATCTATGTTATTGAGGGTGTTGAACTCCATTAGGTCATGAAGCCTCTTGAAAGCCTCATTGGAATACTGGAAGTTGAAGGTAGAGAATGGTGTATTTGGATCATCAAAAATGTCAAAGTCCGCAAAATCCTTCTCTTCCTGTGTTTCTCTTGGAACACCTGCCATACAGAACAAACACAAAACCACAACTTGAAACGTGCAGGCTGAGGACTTATCATTTTACTTTGTAATAGCTCTTTGGAAATCTCTAACTACTACAGACAGACTTAAGGAGCTATTTCCAACACAAAACAATTCTCACATACAATCACCATGTCATTACAAAGCTTCAAAGGAACTCTTTAGATTCAGCATCAGAAACAGTGTGCTCACCTGGAGCTTTGTACTTCCGGAAGTTGATGTTGGCCAAAACAAAATGGATTATGGTTGGACAGTCTTTCTCTGAAGAGGTGTCCTTGGGTTTGAAGACATAGCACTCCTTCAAGCCCTCTCGATCAAATACATTTGGGTCTATTTTGGGGAAAGGAAGCTTGTTCATTTTGGCCCATTTTTCAGCAAGCAAAATTTCCTGCAAAGATAACAAAGACTCAGGTGCATTCAAGCATCTACTGCAAAGGGAGATTTTAGGTAAAGAGCCACAGGGCAAATTGGTTACCAGAAGCAGTTTTCTTAAGTTATGCTTGTTTACAGGAAAGGGCTGATCAAGTCTACACTGAGGGTGGTGAGACACTGGGAGAAGCTGCTCAGAGAGGTGGTAGATGCCCCATCCCTGGAAACATTCAAGGTCAGGGTGGAGAGGGTTCTGAGCAACCTGCTCTAGTTGAAAATGTCCCTGCTCACTGCAGATGATCTTTAAAGGTTTCTTCCAGCCACTCCATGATTCTGTGATTCTAAGTCAATGCCTGTACAGGTGACCCAGTATGGCAAACTGAGCACCTAATTGAGCCTGCTTGATCTTCACCACCTACGATGATTCACAGGAAGGAAAGAGCTGGTCTGTCACATAAATCTTTGGGTGAATTTACAGAGCTGACAGCTGAAAAAAAAACCCTCTGTAATTTTACTCACAGACTATCAATGCTATGGAAACCAATGAGAGTCAATAAACACCAATCCAGGCGTTGTTCTGTTCAGTCACAGCTCAGCACAGAACTGCATTTGAAAGCACATTAAGTGAAGAAGTAAGTCTGGAAAACAGGCTTTTTTACCTCGTGACAACTCAGTAAACAAAATAATTTGTAAATAATGACTCAAAAGCATGTAATGGGGTGTGTGAGAGGGAGGAGAGGGAAGGTCAACATCTTTAATCTTGGTTTTGAATGAAAGAGGACCCTTCTTTGGGCCACTGTTTTGGATACACAAGAGATTAAAAGATAGTGGGTGTAAAATGATAAACCAAGAGCAGAGTCACTGACCTCAGCTGGCTGATTTCCCTCTGTGTTTGAGCAACAAATGTATCTTCGAGTGCTACCATAGCTACAGGCCATCTCTTGAAGAGGCACTTTGCAATGCAAGCAGAACCAATGGGATTGCACAGCCAGCAAACACAACCAGTTTCTGTCCTGCAGGCCATCAGAGTACAGCCTCTGCCCGTGGACTCTACCTAGGTATGAGCTGGAGCCACGTCACTCTTCCCACCACACACACACTTGTGCTCAGGAGAGCATGAACCATTCCTTTGAAGAGTGGCTTCATTAAACCTACAGCACCTTTTGATTTTCCCACCGTTTTCTCTTGCACAAAAGGATCTTGCCTTTTTAAAATGATAGTTTACAAAAAAACCTCTCAGGATGCTATTTGACTTCTCTCCATGTTATGGGATTCTCCCCAAAATGACACAGAAAACAGCAGCTGATGGAGAGAGAAAGCTCAATGTGTAGGCTGGGTGACAGAGGCAACCACACAGCCTTCTGCTCAGCCTCCATGAGCAGAGGAGTAGCAAAGGGAGGAAAAGGAAGATGTTTCAGAGGAGAAGGTAGCACTGTGGCAGTAAATGTAGCTGATGGGGAAAGTAACAAGTGATAGAACAAGAGGAAATGGCCTCAAGTTGTGCCAAGGGAGGTTTAGGTTGGATATTAGGAAAAATTTCTTCACTGAAAAGGTTGTCAAGCACCCGAAACAGGCTGGTCAGGGAAGTAGTTGAATCACCAGCCCTGGATGTGTTTAGAAGTCATGCAGATACAGTGCTTAGGGACATGGTTTAGTAGTGGACTTGGTAGAGTTAGGTTAATGGGTAGACTTTATGACCTTAAAGGTCTTTTCCAACCTAAACAATTCTATGATTCTATGACAAAAAAGGACAGAAATAGAAAATTAAAGGAAGAAAAAGGATGTGGGATCCAATCAATTAAAGAAAAATGAAGGATGTCAGTACTAGTAAGCTTTCTCAGTACTCTCTTCTTGCAAGCAGTCCCTGAAGGACCTACAGATTACAGAAGTCACTCCTTTTTATCCTCTTGAAGCTTTCTCTTTGCATTTGACAACACTGATCTAGAGTTTTACTACTGCTCTTCTTTTCTAACATTATCTGGGGGTTTTGGCCCTTGATAGCCAGAGGAAGGAAAGAAAGTCTGTTCTAATTGAAATCTATCTGTAAAGGAACAAGGAATACCAGCTGTTTCTCAAACAGGCATGTTGTCTTGGTTTCGTTAAAAATTATTTTTAAATCTCCATTTGGCTTTCAAATAAATACTGCCTCTTTTCTGAGAACCTCACAATACTTTAAGTGCTGCTTCTCCTGTGTCAGCTACCAAACTGATCCAAGATGAAGCCTTTCTGATGAGCTGGAGCTGCACAGTTGCCCAAGTTGTACAGACTGACAGCTGTCCTCTCCACATCTGCCACAGAAAACAGCCTGGGCCTTTAATCCATGTTCTGCTGTTGTTGCTTTACTCTGGCCTGAACGGATTGTAGGAATCCTACTTAAACCAGTACTGGGATTATCTTAATGAGATGTAAATGAGCAGTCAGTCCCACATCCAAAATGCTACATATTTAGCAATACCAGAGCAACTGAGACACATTTCTGCAGGATGCTGAGAGAAACCCATTCCTTCACAACACAGCATCACAGAGAGCAGCTGTACAGAGCTAGAGCACAAGCTCAATGGCAAACGAACGACTTAATTAATACCAGCATAAAATACAGTTCTGCAACTCAGGGTGAGGGAAGCAATTCCATAACAACAACAGAGCTGCTATTTCAAATGAATTATATCAGCCTTCTTTGTGTCAGTTGTCTCATGTGAGTCATGCAAACAGGAACTGAGGCAAAGAGCAATATTATGCCATGATGTGGAAACAAACTGCTCCAATGCTGTGGATAAAAGAGCACTAAGGCCTTCTCACATCATGAAGTGTGCAACCAATCTGACTGGAAGAGTACAGCCAGGTGCACTTAGCTTTATGAACACAAAGGAAGGAATGGCCTATCTTACTTACTTTGAAAGGAGGACTGGAATCACTTGGCCTCGCTGAAAAATCAAAAGAGATGATCAGATCAACCCCTCTCTGAGGTCTTAGGATGAGTGGGTATGGCAGGTTAAATGTAAGCCCACTGTCCACTATATGAATCTTTTTGCTCTTCACATCTAGTGGCTCATATATCCGCTCAAACTCATCAGGATCTGCAGAGAACAAATGAAAACAAAACAAAACCTCATGAGTTAAGAACTGAAATTCTGATGGGCTTTCCAGTGTTTCCCCAAGTACTGAAGACTCCATAGCATTTAAAATGTTCAGTATCCCAGCTAAATGTGCTATGAACCCATGCAACTTTAAGTCTTGTCTTAACAACTGAAGAATAAGGTGGAAAAAAAAAGAGCTGGGAGGGATCTCAGTGGGTCAAGTACACAAATGCCCTGTCCCAGGGCACTAGCAGAGATGGCTCAAGGCAACACTGAAGTGGACGAATGACCAGGTTTGATCACAGCCTTCCCACCTTTATCCTGTCATCCCCAACAACCCCCACACAAAGGAAAGTTCAGCCTGGAGAAGAGAAGACTCTGGGAAGACTTTACTGTGGCCTTTCAGTACTTAAAGGGAGCCTATAAGAAAGATGGAGACTGCCTTTTTAGCAGGGCCTGTTGCAACAGGACAAGGGCTGATGGCTTTAAACTAAAAGAGGGGAGATTTAGACTAGCTAGAAGGAAGACATTTTTTACACTCAGGGTGGTGAGATGCTGGCCCAGGTTTCCCAGAGAGGCTGGGAGAAGCCTCCGCCCCGGCAGCAATCCCCGC